CCGAGGTGGGAGAATTTCGGATACAATTAAAAAGCGAAACTAGCAAATCAGTCTGGCAACGGTAAGATCCCGTGTATGGCCCGCAAAATCAACCAAGGATTTAGAGTCTTGCAGAAGACGGGCGAATGTGTTGCCAAGTGCCGAGTTCGGCTTTGAAAGTATCGCTGAAAGTTTAATTTTACATTCATCGTGATGTTTTGAGTTGCAGACTGCGATAAGTTGTATTGCACCAAGTTAGAGTTGCGAGGAAACTAAGGTGGTGGTCAAATACATGTTAGAAGTTTGAGAATTGAGCGAGGAGCTGTGACGAGCAGCTGAACGCGGCAGGAACCCTCCTGAAGCCCAGGGGCCACCAAGGGTAGTTGTGCATGCCAGCTGCTACTCAGAGGACCAGCAGCGCAGCAGGTAATGATTCACCACGAGCGTGTGGACTCGGAAACCCGAGCAGACTACAGCAAAGATCGCGTCTACAAGGATACAGTGGCTATTTAGTTTACTTGCCATATGACAGTACTTATTTCAATCGTGATGCCTCCATTTTTGATTACCACATACCCAACACCATTATTTAGGTAAGGCTTACATGGTGAATGTCGCAGTTTGGATTTTCTGACAATTTCCTAGAACGTAACACCCTTGATTTTCAAGGGTCTTCTGTACATGACTAAATGGCCGATTACAACGGCTGTACTCACCAGTCACTGCTGCCACATCCCTGCGCCTTCTTCCACTGGGGCACGTGGATTCGCAGCAGCTGCACACCGAGTCCGAGCCATCAGCAGAGACCCACCTGCATTGCACACAAATGTCGTCTGTAGTTGCACAGGCAATGCTCACGCGTATCCGTTCACATTTAAGGAAAGTGCCGATTGAGCAAACGTTTAGGGCAAGCAACGTACAGTGGTGTACCATTTGGCCAGCACCACGTTCGACCAGACTGATGGCGAGAATACCACACTCGATGGGAGCAGTGGCCAGGAATACAACTCTAGGCGTAGTTTTGTTTAACTGTATGACATCACCCGACCTGTATAGTCAGAGCCTTCAAAAGAAAAGTATTGCAAGTATTTGTAGCATCAAGGGACAGTCTGTGGCCAGCCCTAGTGATCAGCTTGAGAAAAATCTACGAAGGCGAGGCTCAGTTGATGCTCCTGACATTAGCCACGAGTGAGATTTGAACTCTGGCTACCAGGCAGAGATTTTTCAAAATGAGCTCAAACCAATTACAGACGTCGTATGCAGGCTTCGACCAATAACCACCTGAATACAGCTTAACAAGAGCAGTCCCGTGGGACTGCACAATAATTGTAATACCAATTGCAGGTAGAAACCGAAGTTTGGTCTCAGGGATTTTAGTTAAGCACACATGCAAGGCATGGATTAAGCTATTGGATGGAAGACACTGAAAAACTAATTTCTGGGCAATGCAAGGAAGAAGACCAACCTGTATGCAGCCGAGGGGCTGTAGGTGCAAGCTTTATTGACAGTCGTTGGAGATGTTGCAACATCTGCAACCTTCAGCTGGCAGAAGACAAAAACCTGGACCGAGAAGAGGAAGATGGATTCTCACTCAACCACACTGCCTACTACGTGGCTAAAGGTGGTGTCTGTAGAAGCATGCATGACAGTAGATCACCTGATCGCCATTGTTGGTCAACGTCGCAAGGAAGCGGAAGGAATCTATGAAGAAGCGAAGGACGTTGTCACTTTGCCGGAGCAGGAAGCCAGAAGTAAGGTGAGCATCATACGAGACTTTGCCATCCACCAGACACCTGCACAGACACCGTAGACGAATGACACGTGGCTTTACATAGGGCAGGCTAGCAGAAAGCCAGCGCTAGGAGACTGTCGTACGCCTCTTCTACTGTATAATGATGCACTGAGGGTGCGCCAAGCCCACTTCTTAAGGGGCAAGGGGCTCCTCCCACCCAAACAAACCAAAGCAGTCACCAATGGCATACATTGACCACATCTCTCATCAGTAGTGTGTTGACCGACACCACATGACAAAAAGCATTCACCATGCACCTGGGCAGGTTTAACCATCAGAGCAAGATTCAGCGGCATTCCAAGGTCAGGCTCTGTTATATGCTCAAGCAGTGGAATGCCACCTTTACGACAAGGAGCATAAACATTCAGACAGGATTAGGAGAGAGAGAGAGAAATCTCACCCAGAGTTAGAAATTATTTGGTAGCTGAGGGGAGAGTTCCTGTCTGGAACCGGGGTTGCAAAGCAGCTGACCACGAAGATCCTGAGTGGAACGTGGTTCACCGTCTGCACGCTCGCCTCGACATTCAGAGTCTGGCCCAGCTGGTATACGGTGGAAGGTCGCGCCACACTCCAGTCGTCTAAATAAAACAAACAATTAGACAACATCAAAAACACAATTACCAAGGCCGAGTGCAGACTCAAAGCGCAGCTCGGAAAGTGCTTGCTCACGCCACTGCTTGTGGAAGAATCCCAGATAAATCATGGGACCTTTTGCCAGTACCAAAATATGAGAATAGGTTTCCTTTTTTTGGCAACAGGTGTTAAGATGTTGAAACACCAAACTGAAACCTTTTGCAAGGAATGATGTGTCTGCATTAACCACAAAATGTGTGGTCAGAAGGAATCATGCAGACATGATTGCTTGTAAAAGGCTTCAATTTGGCGTTTTAACATCTTTACACCTGTTTTGTTGTCAGAAACATGGGGAAAACCTATTCTTAAACATGAGATAAAGTTTAAGGACCTCGGTTATACATCTGGCCTATTCTTAAATACCAAGCAAACATCTTGAATGGTTTAGTCTAAACTGCCATCCTGGTAGCAGCCATGTGCATAATAGGCAATCAACGTCCTCACACCACTGACCAGTCATGAGCCTCAGCGTGAAGCTCAGCTGCTGCTGCATAACCTTGGCGCTGCTGAAGGGGATCCATGTGGGTTTGATAGCATTGCTGGACACGTTCCCCTTCCTGCAGCGAGGAGGAGATCAGGCACACATTCTCTACAACGAGCAGAGGTGGGCGATTCTCAACAGCACAAATTGTGACCAGATTATTATTGCAATGCCGTTAACATCTTGCAAATAATAGACAAGCAAATATATACAGAACCATATTTTCAGAGTATATTTAACATCGCAAAGTGCAAGACTTACAACCGACGAGGACCAAATAAGAGTAAGTATGAGACTTGGTGCAATGAATGCTATCCAATGGAGTACAATTAAGAGGACCGTGGTTCACACAGTATGCAATGCATGCACCACTTCAGACGTGGACACTTGTAAGGCAGGATGTTTGAGGCAGGCCATAACACAGGCGCTTGATGTGAACCCATCAGTAAAGTTGGCACCAAAAACCTCCACGACAGACAGTACAGGGAGACTTTCCTTGCGTGGATTAACTCGACGCCATTTTGGCTTTATTGCAATTCAGGCCTCGCAAAGCTAAAGCACACGAAACGGAACGTAGTTTTAAAGCCAGTGGTAGAACTACAAGCAGTTTAGCTGGACTTCAAAATTGAAGCAAATATCAACAAGAGACTGCTGGTGAACTCGCCTGGGATAGCGGCAAACGACCGGCACGGCGACGTAGTTTGTGCGGATAATGCCCGTGTTGGACGTGGGGCGGTAGTAGAGGTAGTTCTCGTAAGACAGCAGCTCTGCACTCATCTAAGACGGGAGGAAGACGTGGGGTTTATTACCCAGTGCCATACTAGTGGCATAAAAGAAAAGCTCAAACACCTTGGTGAAAAACCCAATGCAGCAGTTCCTTGGTTTAAATAATTTACCTAGCTCATGTCCACCATAAAAAAACACATCCACACAAACCATGGCAGATGTAGAGTCCTGATGTATTATGGGAGAATAAAAACGCTCTGATGTACGACTGGTCATCCAGAACAGACCTTAACATAATAATGCAATGACCGATCTACAAATACCAAGGGGACTTCAAAGCAATACACCCCGCTGTTATTGAAGAAGTCTGGCTCGACTCGAATGCGGAATTGTAGTTCTTATGCATCTACACTCGGCCAAAAAATAAAGCAGTTGGATTGCGAAGATTATGTTACAGCAGCATTAGCAGCCAGTTACCTGGAGGCTGCTGCCACAGCTTTCCAGTGCGTAGAGGAACGTCACCGTCCCAGCAAGGGCGTCGCTCCCAGTGACGGGGCAGGCTGGCACTCCCAGGGACAGGTCACTCGCCTGGGCCAGGTGACCCGTGCCGAACAGGTCCCTGCTCACGGTCAGCGTGAGCGTCGCCTCGTCACACACCACACTCACCGTGGCGGAGGTGGCCACTGTAGCTGGCGGTGCCACACGGGACGAGGCGCGAGTGTTACCCAAACAGTGACACAGGTGGTCAGGTGAAGCCGTAGAAAGTCTCAGAAACTCGCAGTCACAATCATCCACACAGAGCTGCGAATACTTGGGTTCGAATTCCCCAGTAGCACCTCAGTAACTTAATACACGCGTTAAGACAGGTTAAGAATACGTTTTGGCAATCCACTATTGGATCAAGTCTTGCACACTGCTATCGTCAGTTTGACCATACAGATCAGTACGGGCTGAATTAGGGCAAAGCCCAGGTCTAGACACTTGTCGCCGATGCTAACATTACCGGGACGCAAATTGGTGTTCAGGTATATAGAACAGTGAATCAACCACCACGCCACACTAGCAAACCCATCGTTAGTACGGGTATATTATGGTGTTCTTATCAGGCAACACGGTAGTTGCATAGCACGACAAAAAAAGATTGAAAATGCATCTTTCAACCAAACTCCACTTACCAGAGGCAAGACATAACAACCCCAAGACCGCGAACAAAGCCCTCGTGGTCTCCATCGCAAGGACAACAAAAACCGAGACTTAGCACGGCGCCAGCAGAGCCAACGCAGCTCCCGTCCCGACTCGTGGCTTTTATCTGCGCGCGGTCTCATTCGGTTTCAGTAATGAGCCAATTAACTCCTCCTGCGTACGTGCTGCGTGATTGCGGTGCAGCTCCCACCCATGCACTTGTGCCGACATCGAGCAAACCTCTACCGATGAGACAATGAGTGAGTGGATCCGCTCTGATAAAATCTCGCTGATGAGACAATGCGTGGGTGGATATGTTCTGATAAAATCTCGCTGATGAGACAATGCGTGGGTGGATCTGATCTAATCTGGATCGGGATCGCTGAGGGCTCTCCATATAAAAGGGGGTGCCGTGGGCGAAGGGAGGCGACGCAGCCGATTTGTTTAACGATGGCGAACCTGCGAGTTCTTCTACTGCTCCTGACCAGGTGAGGAGGCCGGAGGAGTGTGGTGTCGGGTTTTAGTGGTGTCGGGTTTTAGTGGTGTCGGGTTTTAGTGGTGTCGGGTTTTAGTGGTGTCGGGTTTTAGTGGTGTCGGGTTTTAGTGGTGTCGGGTTTTAGTGGTGTCGGGTTTTAGTGGTGTCGGGTTTTAGTGGTGTCGGGTTTTAGTGGTGTCGGGTTTTAGTGGCGGTGGGTTTTAGTGGCGGTGGGTTTTAGTGGCGGTGGGTTTTAGTGGCGGTGGGTTTTAGTGGCGGTGGGTTTTAGTGGCGGTGGGTTTTAGTGGCGGTGGGTTTTAGTGGCGGTGGGTTTTAGTGGCGGTGGGTTTTAGTGGCGGTGGGTTTTAGTGGCGGTGGGTTTTAGTGGCGGTGGGTTTTAGTGGCGGTGGGTTTTAGTGGCGGTGGGTTTTAGTGGCGGTGGGTTTTAGTGGCGGTGGGTTTTAGTGGCGGTGGGTTTTAGTGGCGGTGGGTTTTAGTGGCGGTGGGTTTTAGTGGCGGTGGGTTTTAGTGGCGGTGGGTTTTAGTGGCGGTGGGTTTTAGTGGCGGTGGGTTTTAGTCTCAACAGCTCTGGTTAATCAAGGCTTGTGTACGTTTTTATAAGAGGGCCAAGGGCGTAGTTGTAATGTATATTGGGGGGGACATATCTCCCCCAATATTAAAATCTGCTGAAAATGTCCCGCCCCCCCCCCTCCCAATATATTGCTGTAAAATATATTTCTGTTTATATGATTGTGGTTATGGTTGTACTTTATTAATCCCTAATCTCTGCTATTACATACACTGAAACAACAAATAGTAAAACAAAGCACAGAACAATACACTATTATACATTATTGTAAATAAATACAAAGTCCATCCAATGCATTGAGATAAAAATGCGGTCCTGAAATGTCTCGCGTGCACCATTTGTGTGTGGCAGGGGTTCCAAAGGTGGCTTTGCGTGGCGCTGTTCACGCCAACTCCATCGTGCACCGTGCTGGCCTTGAATAATAGGTGCTCCCTAAAATCGCCACTGGCCACTTTATTTTTGGGGAGGCGGGTGGTGTTTGCCTCCCTCCTTCCCATGCGTTCTCTCGTCTTGGCGGTCACGTTTCTCGTGCTCCCCCCCCCCCCACCGCAGCTTCCTCTGCCTGGGCTCCGTCCTCGCGAGGCTTCGCCAGTCGCTGGGACCGCGGACGCTGGGGGAGCCGAGTGGTAAGGGGGCGCTGCTGCTGCTGCTGTAGCCACGTGACAACCACATCGCCCATTCTCTCAATACCACCTCGTGTGTACAGACACCGCCGTGTGCAAGACTAGAATGGCGGCGTCTCTCGGTGAACTGGAAGGTGCTACCGGCGACATGAGTTGCCCACGAGAGCGCTGCCTGGACGAGGTGGGGGGGGGGGGGTTACTTTGTTGTGCGCTGCAGCAGTCACGTGACCCGACGTCACTGCTGCTGGGCACGAGGCCGCCATGGGGATGATTAATAGTCCCCCAGTGCATTGGAAAGGGGTTGTTCGGGGACATTAACGCTCCCATGCACGTTCCTTTTAACGATAATAACGCTTTCGAAAAATGTGGCTTGTGACTGATTGGCACGGCTCTTCCAACTTTACTTAAAATAGTCAATTGTACGCCATTTGACCGCACACGACCTACACGTAACACTCGCGTGGCAAAATCGTCATGGCATAGTTCCTTTCCATTGTAGTAACGGTGAATTGTGCACTCGCGTTGATAATTTGCATATATCAGGATCTACCGTGGCAACTTTCCACTCTTTCAAGAGTCTAATGCGGGGGGGTCTATGAACAAAACATCAAGATCCATGTTTCAACCTGTGGCTTCGAAGCTGCAGGTTGACTATCTCTGGTGTGAGATTTATACTGTCGAGTCGTGCAAGTGACCTTTTGGAATTTGCGCCAAATTAGAACAACGCAGCACCTTACAGACTTGTGTGCACAGACAAGCGAAGGGACTGATGTGCGCCCACCCAGCAACCGGCACGGGCTGGTTTTTTTTTTCATAAGGTGTAGTTGACCTGTCCAACTTCTGAACTGCCTCCCCCAGGTCTGCTGAAGCAATGCCTCTCCTCCACTCTGGGTTTCTCTGTGGGATGGAGCAGCTCCTCTGACAACGATTACCGTGTCTTTGTACGGGGTGAGTCCACGAGCGTTCACTTCAATCGTGATGAAATAATTAACCATCTTGATCCATTGTATGATGACTTTACATGGAGCTTCTCAAGGAAACGATCAAATTGCTTCTGGACAGATTCTCTGGCAACTTGTTTGGTCCAACTACTTTGTTTTCGATGTACTCTTACCTCTACAGTTTCTCTTCTATGGTGTCGCTGTTTAGGTTTCTTGGTTGACTCTGCGTTGTATAATGTAATTCACATGAACAATGGGACATTTAAGAATCTGGGATTCGAAGCATGGTAATGATTTGGCTTCGGGGTTCATTTCAACTAGTCTAATGCAGCAGATGACGAGAATCAAATCTTCTTCCATAGGATAATTGCGTGTTTTTACTAGATGGGTGATTCCCTTATTCATCAATGCCACATTGTGTGTGTCTGTGCAATGGGCTCTTCCTTTCATTGGGACATTTTTATGCAAGGTGACGACTCGTTGTAAACTGAACCTGGTGACTCCTGTCAGATTGTGGTTCTCTACTCGCATCGTCTGCATTTCCCTCCGTGGACGACTTGGGAGATCTTGTCGCGAAATCTGACACGCAGCCTTATTTGCTAGCAACTATTAGACGAGGTCGTTGTGCAGGTTTTGGGAGTACCGTGATTCCAGCAGCGTCTTGAGGATCCTGTGTCCTAAAGACGTTCCTGGTACTGTGGAGACTTCCTATTCGAGCTGACACTGACAATGCTTTGTTCTCCTTGCAGTCACACTGCCTACATTAACTTGTGGTGTACACGCCATCCAAACGCAGGTTTTTCTAACTTTGTTCTTGGTGTGTCCAGCGGTGCGGAATGAGGCCGTGGATGTGGAGTCTTTGCAGGGGGCGTGCGGCTTCTCCATCGCGAGGGACGATGCTGGGCTCCACTTCACCGCTGCTGGTGATGCCTGCCACGTGCGCGTGGAGGTGAACACGAGGAGACCGTTGTGACTTGCATCGATACTAGTACCCGCTGGGGCTGGTGTGATAGTAGCGAATTTGATGTTTTGCAATCCATAACCGTTAAGCTATCACGCGCCAACGATGTTGTCTGGCCTTAATCAAATTGGATTTTGTCTACTGTGTTATTTTCCCCTCATTTGTTTGGCTCGTGCTAAGTTTCCAATATTAAATTCTTTTTAGCTCGTACGGTCCACTCTGGAATTTGTTTTCAGATGTATTTTATTGCCTTTTCTATTTTCCTAAAAGATGTTATGAATTCGATCATTCCTCGGTGGTAGCTCGTTTGTTTTTAGTTTATACAGCAGCTCTCTTGACCGGTATCCCTGTAAAATCGATGCATTACTCATTCCATCTGTTTTTGATATCAAGATCTTGCCATCTTTGTCTTTATACCAGTTTACCTTAGTTTGTGTTTTGCTCACTATTATGCCATGTCGTTACATTTCTCCAACCATTCCTAAGTATATTTTCTTGCTCATGTCCTTGCCTCATTGCATTGCTTTTTTGTCTTTAGTCTCCGTCTCATCAGTCTTATCTCTAGCATAATTGTTCTCCTCCTGTGCATAACGGTAAAGGATTTGCCATCTAAACGTCCATGTCACCAAGTGGCCACCTTTTAATAGAGGCAATGTGTGAACGGTTAACTGTTTACATCACAAGACACGGCAAAACGAGCTTTCAGTTTGTTTCACGCCTGCTAATGGATGCAGCTTTCAGTACTAATCAATTCAAAAATGGGATTCGGAGCAGTTTGATGCTACGTATAGTATAAACTGCACTATGTATTACTACAGAAGGTCGCTATCCAAGCTGGCCTCTAAGAGACCAACGTCCATGTAAGAAAAATATTGCACACAGGGGGAACTTGGACATGTATGGTGTATAACAGCTAAATGTATGTGGAAGATGTGCACTAATTGAGGTTACTTGCACAAGACATGAAAGTTAAAAGAAATAATAAATGTGTAGTTGATGCCTAATGAGATCTGCCCAGGATATCGTGATGCCTGTGTGAACGGTGCTAATTTGTAAGTGCTGTGGTTTGTGGGAAGAGCAATGGAGGTTTTGTGGCAAGGTGAATATGGAAAATGTATTGCACGCGTAGAGCAGGACAGCGTCCGTTTATACAATAACAACGGTTAACTTGGGAAAGTGATTTCGGACCCAGGAATGCAACCCCCGTGTGGTCTGCCTATCTTAGTTTGGCTGGCAGGTGGCGATGGGTTTCCTATTGAGTCTTACTTGTCATTAACCTGGCCTGGCCCAAACATTTAGAATGCACTAACAAATCTACTGATTTGTTTGAGCCTTCCTGGAGCGCTGGCCCCGAGTCCGATTTGAGGGCTGCTGATTTCACCAGGACGGCAGGAGGAAGGTCCAGGTGGAGTTGCGGCAGGGACTAAATGGACGCGTCTGGGCTTTCACCATTGACTGCCCTGAGAACCTCAGATCGGCGAGGGCTGGAGGCGAGTATCATTGACTCTGCTAATCGGACGTACAGACTTCACTACCTATGACTTGGTGCTATAGAATGGGTCTGCTGGCTCAACAGCTGCCTTTTGTAATCGACCTAGATCCTCTCTCCTGGTGCTTTTGCATTTCATGCAAGTGCGTTTCATGCCCTTGGCTTTTACTAGACAAATTGCTGTTTGAATCCTTTTCCGATGCAATTTCCTCCAATGGGTAATTGCAATGGTTACACCATAGGAACGCGTTTACCTAATGCACTGCTGGTTGGTACTGCCCCTGGGTCTTGAGGGTTAATTTGACCATGCTTCACGACGCTGCTCCTCGTTGGCAAAGGTTGAGTGGCACTGACCTGCAATGCCACAATCTGTGCTGCACTGCTATAGCCTTTACAGCCAGTGAGCACGGTCTTTGCCTATCTTTGCTGTACACTCAACCCTGCTCCGCTTCCGAGATTGGGTGCATTGCCCGAGTGATTTGGTCATGTACCAAGTAACACTCATTCACATACTTGACACGTGGCTCAAACGATGACTTATTTAAGTACGTGGGTTTTTTGTACGATCACCTGTTGTGCTCCTGCTGTTAGAGATCGCCACGTGCTCTGGTCAGAGCAGGAACTTCCCATGCAACGCTGTGCAGAGTGTCCCGAGCGCGGATGTCTGTGCACAGAGTGGCTGCTGCTACGACACCACTCTACGCCGCTGCTTCTACAGTGAAGCTGGTACGTAGCCGACTCGACGGAGGTTCCATAATTCACTACCTGAATTAGGCTCTTGCTGTGAGGTTCTATGTTGGTGCACAGTAGCATCCTGCTGTGCTGGTTCCCTGAACTTGTTGCATCATCACCACGGGCTACATGGGGCATCTTTCGTGATTCACCGAACTCTCACATACCCTCCCACTATGCACCACCCAGTGTGCACCACAGATGGGCGCTTTGTGGTGCCTGTGTCTCGGAACCTAACGTCTCCACCGCTGGACTTGAGCACCGTGCACCTGACTGGCGGTAGCGGTGCGCAGTGCAGCCCTGTGCTGGTGTCTGCAGACCTTGCAGTCTTTGACGTGCCCATGGCAGCGTGTGGTGCCACTGTGCAGGTACTGCGCTCCTGTACTCTGCTTTGCCCTGCCCCCATCTTGATGTAGTTAAATGGGTAACTTGTGGTGCAGTGACCATGATGAAACCCAGCGACTGGTTCAGCACACTCCTAAATCTTTAAAGCAATTGACGTACCTTCATGCCAATTGGAAAATGGGATTAAATGCACCACAGGGGAACGTGTGCAGTATCACTGGCGTGTGCCAATTTTGTGCAGTCATTAAGGTTGCTCTTTAACGCAATTTATTTCATGACTATGGGATCCGGAAATCGATTCGGACACTTGCGGTTGACAATCCCAACGCCTTCACTCGTAGTCGAGTGGACTTGGGCCTGGTGCAGTAGTGTTCTCGCTGCCATATTTCCTTCGTCGTGGCTTGCACATTTTGCTAATTGCATAGGATTTGACTTGCGTAAATGAGGTAACAATCAATTCTTGCACAGACATTATTATTTGTTCTGGTTGATGGTCGTGCTTATGGTAGCCACGGGAGAACATCGCAAAAGACCATAAATTAATCGAATATAACTTCACCTATTAACCGATAGGCACTACACCACGACAAGCACTGTACGGATTTGGTTGGATTTTACAGTACCATAACGACACGTACCAAAGCGCTTTGTACATTTTGCAGCGTGTTACTGTTTCTACCAGATGACCTGTAAGATGGATAATTGCAATAGTCATGCCTTGTCGATACGATGCTATATGCCACTTGGCTGTGACGACTCAATGATGGTCTAGTATGTTGTAGAGCCTGATATGAAAAATGTCAGGACCTGACTATATTTTGCATAAGGTGGTCGATTGAACTATTCGGGTTGTGTGGTGCCCGAGCCTCTAAAAGAGTAGCAAACAATCTTGGAGTTGGCGAGTGCCACGCCTGATCATTCCACAAATGGATTTCCTATGCCAACCAGCAGAACCTCCGATAGTTTTCTCGATTCATCTGTTTCGTGCACTGCTAGTGTGTACGACATTCCTGAGGCTCCATATCAAAAATATTGACTTCACTGCAATGTATCGTCGGCATATTGACACGTTGTCATGCGATAATATGATATTGGAACACAAATCTATGCTTTAAAATGGGAAGGGCCTGAGGATGGATTTTTGTAGTATGCCAACTAGGTGATGGCCGTCATCCAGCTTGATTAATTGATCGACCATAGAGGTATGAGACGATCCACCCCAGTGCCGTACTGGATAAACCGAACCTTGGCTACCCGATTTTGGTAGTTCTCGTTCGATGGTGTCAAAATATCGTGTGTGATCCAGTCGTATAAGCTCTTGGAGAGCTAACTGGCGATCTTTTTATTTAAGCTACCTCCGTTCTATAGAACTTCGGGAAGATCAAAACTGCAATGGGTTGAATCTGCCTGTTGCAGCAACATTGCCAAGTAACTAATTCACATGCACTCTGACCCTCGACTCTATTCACCTGTGGGATGGGGCAATAGTTGACGGGATCACTATGGCTCAAGCCAACATTTTTAAAGGGGTGTTGCATTCATTATTTTACACTGGTCTGGGAAACAGCCCTCGCCGAACGCAATATTTTCCAGGTGGACAATCCGTTGCACCAATGCGTCCACTTTCGATTTGGGAATGGACATGTCGAGATCGTTTTGGGCAAATTTACAAGCAATATCGAAACCTCTACCACCATAACGGTGGTCTGGTTTTGCGTTGTCCAGGTTCCTCAAACTCGGATGTCGGACCAGGAAAATGTGGTCACTTCAAGTTAAATGTGGCCATCAATCATATCTATTTTATTGTTAAACTCTCGCAAGTACTTTGCATAGGTCTTGGTAAAGTGCAGCATCAGACCCTTCGCGATGATCAACTCCTTGATGTGCAGAGCACAATCATGCACGAGTTTATAAAGAACAGCAGGGTCACTTTATTATTGAGTGTCAAATGAATCGAGCGCCAAAGCAGAATTTAGGGGGATCATAATATCTAATATTGAGCCATCTCGACTCTTGGCTAGCACCAGGTATTCTTCTGCTTGATCACTCGATGGCATTATCGTGTGTGTGACCTACTTGTTGGTGTGTCCAGTGGAGTGGGCAAGAGCTCGTGTACGAGTTACTGTTGGCCTCTGAGCGGGAGCTCTGCGTCGATGGAAACGTCGCAATCACCAAGTCGTCCACATACAAGTAAGCACTGCCACCACCCCTCAGCAAGTGCTCTGCTCATGAGGGTCAAGCAAGAGTCTTGCAGAGGAGACCCACCCCAATCAATGGCCACTGTCCCTGCGACATTAAATATTTGCAGCATTCGCCTGCAGAACCATGACCAATCTGCTTCCGTAATCAACGATTTAATTTTCAAATTGGGACATTCAACGCACAAGGGAGACTTATCTTCGTCTCACATGATTTTTAACATCTCCTGAAGTAGTAAGAATATGATTTATAGCTAATGTAAACATGGTGTTAACCAAGGTGGTCCCTTGACCTGGTACGTCTGCAAAACACCCTGCAATCTCTTTCTGCCGTGAGGGCATGGTGCATACCTTTATGGCGGATGTTGTCTGTTTACCAGGATGGTTCTTCAATGCCACTTCCTTGGAAGTGGAGACCTGCAGCTTGGAGTGCAGGTGAGCACTCTGCCACCGCCACCTCCAGCCACGGCCACTGGACCCCTCTCCCTGCTGCTCCAGGTCTTCACTGGTGAGTGCTGCCCTCTCCCACAACGTGCACATCTGAGTGGCCAAATGCCACCTTAGGGGAACACAGGTTGTGGTGTCGCTCTACCCAGGGAAGACTTGGGTCTGTATTCTCCGTATTACCTCTGGCTGGATGCCAGCTGTAAGTCGTGCTTATTTTATTCAGTGCTGAGATGGAGCTCAACCCTGCTTTAATTGCTACTTATTCAGGCTGCATGAGATTTTGATGCATCTGCAGCATTAATCGGCATGGCTGCTGGACTTGAACTGCAAACCACTGCAACAAACGGACAACGTGCTAGGCTGTGCTGCCAGAGTATTGTGAACCTGCAAACATAGTTCTTAGTTAGCCATAAGTTAACTAGAACGACTTGCACATTCTCCATGGTACGACGTGTAACTTCAAATGCTAATTTCTGCTAATGTTTTGAATCTATCAGCTACCAGCTGAAACCATGTTAGTGTGGGGTCAACATTGAAAGGGATGACAAGACCCTTAATTCCCATGGCTCTACCAAATGCGTCTTTTTGCACAAACTATCAACCATAACGGTCTCCTTGAGGGCATTGTTTAAAGCAAAATTGGACTGCTTTCTTGGCCTCATTTGTCCAGGTCACATTTGCATGAACGAATGGTTGCCAATAGCTTCATTGGTTACTAATTGCCTAAATGGGACTAGAACTTGACCAACTTTTAGCACCTGATTCCCACCCCTCCATGTGAAACCGTGCCCCTTACAACATCTACAGTCATTTAGAGATGCCATTGTATACACCGTATTTTGCCAACCATGCTAATCGGAGGTGAGGGTGACAATTTATTTTGAAAATACAAATGAAATATCAACCATGGTTTCTATGCCAGGAAAATGTTGATCTTGTGCCCTGGTTCAATTCAAAAGTAATGCACACGTTTTGGAGGATTTGTGCTTTGCCTTATCTAATGTGCTCTCTAAACAGGACTTTCACGCCTCTGATCCAAATTCCTTGTGAACCATGTCCGCACTCTGCCAGACAACTCCTACACCACGCCGTACCAGCCCTGGCAGTACCCGCTGGTAACGCTTCTGGGAACGCCGCTCTACGTGCAGGCATCACTGCTGCACCGCTCTGACCCGACACTGGTGCTCTTCCTGAAGGACTGCTGGGCCACGCCCACGGCAGTTGCCACCGACCCCACGCAGTGGAAGCTTGTGACGGATGGGTGAGGCTGGGTGGGGTAGTTCGCGCTAAACCCTCTCACTGCCACAGCAGGGCCTGCAGAGGTAACCTGGTTCGATGCATTGGTTGTCTTTTTTTTAATCCCCCACGTAAGCAGAGTTGTGCTAATTACGTCCTTTTTTAAATGACAACGGCTTGTGTACTGGCGTCGTTTAAACAAGATTGCAGTGCCATCCAAAATGTCGATGGCCACAATGCTCCTTGGGTTGATGTTCTGAATGTTAACACAGCCACCCTCTGCCTCCCAGAGCTGGTGGTTTGTACAAGGCCGGCTACATGCAGTGATGGTTGCATCGCACAGATGCACTGCAAATTGGCATTTGGGCTGCCTGGCTCATCGTGAACATGTCTTGACTGTAAAGCTGACCTTAATCCTCGCGTGCAGATTTCAATAGAGATGCGTGCATTCAATCCAATGCATGACACTTGCGTTGGCTTAAGGGTAAACGGCACTTTTTTGCATGTGCAGCTGCCCCGTGCAGTCTCCTTGTTGCAGTGTGTTCTTCCCTGGTGTCGCTGACCTGCCACTGCCTTCTCACTACAAGCGTCTGGCACTCCAGGCCTTCGCCTTCATGAACTCTGACCGCAGCACCACCCGTGACCTCGTGAGTGCCTGATTATTTCCACTTTAAAACCAGGTTCTCATGGAGGGATGACATGTGCTTTGTACAACTGAAGAGGGCAGAAGGACTACCTAATACATGTGAAACTTTACTTACTGGCGCGATGCATTCTGTCTGCCACAGGTGTACCTACACTGCTCTATCCTGGTGTGCGACAGCTCCAGCCCCAACTTCGTCACCGAGTGCAATCGGCAGTGTGGACAGACCAGGCGCTACAGTGAGCACCACCACAACCTCTATTTAATATCTTGCGCTTGTTTTCCTAGAAAAGACTCGCAGAGTAACCCTTTTCCAAGATGACAAAGGGGTTTTCATTGTTGGTCGTAATGTTGCTATGTTTTCCTTCTTATTTAGATCACGTTCACTGACTTTGCAGACTGGTTTTTGACAAGCTGTGGCATGCCATTAATAACCTACTCGTTTGATTTTTCTGAGGAACTTGACCTGAAGCAAATGGTGTCCTTTTGTATGTGCCAGTGGTCATCAACCGATTGTTCTTGTTTCTCCAGAGCGCAACGCTGTCTCTGAGGCTTCCAGCGTGGTAGGAAAGCACGTGGTGTCGCTGCAGGGCCCCGTGCTCTTTGAAGAAGCTCCTGTTAACGACGCTGCTCTGCTTTTGCTGGAGACTCCCTCCTCATCGTGGGCCAAGGCTGGGACTCTGTCCCTTCTCCTCGTCATTGGCACGGCAGTCGTTGCGCTCCTGTCTGCTGCCATTGCCGTCAGGAGGCGCAGGAGCCGGGCTGTGGTGCTCGACGGGAGTGGCTATTGATGACGGCTTGTGATTGCTGGAACTTGCATAGCTTGCTGACCATTGTCAAAAATAAAATTCTGACATACGCTACTGCTGTTCTGACCATTTACTAGGATTGAATGCATGCAGGAAGTATTAGTGCTGCATTTGGCCACATTTCTTCCCAAAGGAAAGTCCCTCAATGGCAGCAACTTGTACTAACGTTTCGGCCATTGGCTTCTTTAAACAAGAGCACCTTGTGATGCATAAATAATCTGAATCTAGATTTATTTTATTTAATATGTAATAAAAAAATTCCCTTAACATACAAATGTGGAAATAATGTTCCAGGGACCTTTCCCATCACACTAACAAACTATATCAAAGGTCAATCAAAAATGTGGGGCAAGGGGGGAGAAACGAAATCTTAACTTTAACTAGCATCAAGGTAAGGTTAGGTTGTGACATTACAAAGCATGTCCACATTGTCAAAAGTGCTCGCCTCCTGGAAAAGACGACCACCCCACCACGCTAAGGAGGCTTGACTCGATATTCTTTGTGGCCTTGAGCAAGCGTGCCTTGGTGCTTCAGACCCCTGGGTGCTGATGCAATGGCGACACGTCCGTCTGTAGCTGCATTCGGGTTATTGCTGGAGAAACTCTGCCTCAACGCGGTTCCTCATGGTTAATTCCTTGGGCATGGCCACCACAAATGCTAATAGCCAGGAGTCTCCCGTCTACACCTGCCTGAACTCTGGGACCTGTGTTAGACCATCTGCCTGTAAAACTCGGCTGTTAGGAAGACCGTTTGCATCCAAACAGCCTAGAAATCGGACCCCCTCACAGAACATGGCCTCCCTTCCTGAAAAGTAAACCTAAATAGCGTTTCTCAAACTCCTTCGCACTGTATGAAGAACGGACAACCTGTGAAAACCATTTCTCACGGACTCAATCCTGCATAATAACAGACGTATGATGACGCATGAACCAGTACTCTATTTTGTCGAAGATTTGAATGTTCCTTCTCGGTCATACCTGTTACTATAAAAAAATGCACTAACTACTTGACCTATTCTTGGTTCTTTCGGTAAAGTCACGTTGAAGGGAACTAATAAATGTATATATAAAATTCTCACGACGTTTCGACTAACACAGTTTGCTACAGTCGAAACGTCGTGAAAATTTTATTGTTTTGTATATTTTATTTCCCTTCAACGTGACTTTACCGAAAGAACCAAGAATATGAGTTGCTGCAGTCACGAAAGCTTTATATCAAAATACTTGACCTATAGCTTGAAATATCATAGTATAAAATTACTTTATCCTGAACTGATAACATTTGTAATATTAATGCCTGGCACACATATACGCACTCCTCTGCCTATGAACGTAATTCTGTCTGCCTTGTAACGCTTTAAAATGAAACTGGGTTTACATTGCAATAAGGTACACTAAGCCAACAAATTAAGCCCCCGAATGAACACTCGCTGTTAGTTTGTATTGGACCAAGGATATACACAAACTTAATTCAAAATACAATGTACGCTGATCTTGATAACTGAGCCACGACGCATCAGCACATGCGTGATTTCCTCGAGCAATGCAAACGGTTGTTTAGTGTTGACGGGAGGTTCTGGCGCTAAAGACTCGGTGGTCATTTTGTTGCCAATAAAAAATGCCAAGAAAAAAAACTCGACAAACGAGTGGAAGCATTGTGACGTGCAAAACAAAAGGAGTTGCCGCGCTCAACAGCAACCAAACAATGAAGGCATTTCGGCGGCACGCGCTTTGTAAACAGCAGAGCAGCCTGCATCAAGACAAGCCAGAGACTGCACCATTAATGTTGCAAGAGCACGCGCTGAGGATAATCCTGGACAGCGTGCATGGAGACAAGCCAGACTGCACAAAATCTTCTGCAGCACAGGCTAAGAAAACACTTTAGCTCGTTGGAAGGCTTTTTGGTGCTGTGTGCCTCGCCTGTCGTGCCCACTGATGTCCTCTTCCCACCCCCACTCCCCCCGTTGAAATGTGTAGTTACTGCTATCGTCGGTAGAAACTACTATAGTTACTAGACCTCTCTCTTGGCTGTCCATCGAAAAAGACGACGATTGCTCCTCTTGTGGGTGGGTTAGCACTTTCGGCGTTTGTGCCACGTCATGTGGCTGTGGATGCCGATGCGACAACCGCACATTCTGCTGCAGATCGGACACGTGTGTTGGATCTCGGATGGCCTTGTCCCAGTTTTGCGTTGGTGTCTGGGGGTGTCTCTGGGTGCATCTCTCGCATCTCCACAGTGAGATGGCATCTTCCATGTGCTGAACCCCTTTGGCACAGGTGGACCACCAAGTGAACCTGTCCAGCGCCAGGGGTTCCAGGCTGGAGGGATTGATGTTACAGCGCTTCAGCAGGTGTGGTCCTCGAAGCACTTTTTCTGTCCTTTAGTTGAGCGTTTGGCTGAGGTGAGTTGGCGTTAGAGAACTCGACGGGGGAGCAGGTGATCAGGCATGCGGATCACGTGGTCAAGCCAGTGGAGATGTCATGTAGCCATGCTTACCTCAATGCAGGAAGACTTGGTGCACGTAGGGGAGAGGACAGAACCGAGATAGGTGAAATGGGGTAACCAATTTGATGTGAACACCACCAATATTGAAGATAGGCAGTGAGGTGCATGTGTATGAGAGTTGAGCAATTATTTCTGTCTTCTAAGTATTGATTTGGAGGTCGACAGAGTGGTCGGAGGAGACACGGTTGAGGGCGTGTTGCATGGATTCTGGGGTATGAACCATGGGTGCACAGTCATCTGCATATTGCAGTTCAAATAACTGTTGGCGTCTGGTTTTTGTTTGGGCTTGGAGGCGTTTTAGGTTGAAGAGATTTCCATCCAGATAGTACTGTAGCTGGATTCTGTCGATTGAGTTGAGGGAGTTGTGTGAAAGATTTGTGATGGCAGCAAGGAGCATGTTGAATATTACCGGAGCCATAACACAGCCTTGCCTGACCCCGACCTCCACGTTGAAGGGCCCTGATTGAAGTCCATTAAGCACCACTATGGCAGGCATTCGTTCATTGAACCGTTTTAGAATGCTTTGTCACTTGCAAAGCACCCCAAGTTTGATTAGCTGCTGCCAGAGTATCTCGCTGTTTATGGTGTCGGATGCTTTGGTGAGGTCGATGAAAGCTATTAAAGTCTTTGTTTTGATCCTGACATTTTTCCTGCAGTTGTTGTGGCACAAAGATCTGCCTTTCCTGAAGCCCCTCTGGGATTCTGGCAAGATGTTTTCGGATAGCTGCTCTGCGAGCCAGTAGTGCATTATCCTGGCAAGGACCTTCCCGTCGACTGAAATAAGTGAGATACCTCTGCTGTTGCCGCAAGCCTCTTTGTCACCTTCTTCTTGTAGATAACTATAATATTCACGTCCTTCCATTCCTGTGGGATGGTTTTGGACAGCCAGATGAACTTGATGAGAAGTTGCAAGCAGTGATGGAGGAGGTATCCCCCGTGCTTCAGCATCTCAGCTTGGAGGCCGTTGGGTCCAGCACTTTCATTGTTTTTCAGGCCTGTGACTGTCTGGTCGACCTTATAAAATCGCGGTGGAGTGTCAATTTAATAATGGGCGGGATATCAGGCAGTGACTCGAAGATGAGTGGGTCTGTGGGGTTTATGTTGTTGAGGTGATTATAACAGTCCTCTGCCCATCTGTCCAAGACCTTTTGGTGGTCCTTGAAAAGCGCGTTGCCATCGGCAGACCTGACCGGGGTAATTACTTGTTTTGGTGGCCATAGAGGGCTTTGACGGCATCATAAAACCCTTGGGTGTTGTTTGCGTCTGCGAGGCGGCTTTGGATCTCATCTGCTGTTTGAACCGACCAGGTGTCCTCCGTGGCATGGAGAGCACACTGGCACTCTGCGTTGACCTTAGAGAGGGAGGATTGGAGAGTGGCAGAGTCTCGGTCGGAAAGGACAGCTTTGTGGGCTTGGCATTTGGTCTGTAGAGGTGTGTGGATGTTGGCAGCATTCTCCTCAAATCAGTCTATGTGATGCTTTTTGATGCTCCCGTTCTGATTCGGAGGCAACCTCTAGGATGAATGAATTCAACTCAGTCCATGTGTTGTTTGAGTCGAGGGCGTTTGGGGGGAGTTTTTTTTTTTCGTGACAACTGGATGTTTGAGAGCATTGCAAGTTCAGTTTCTTATTTGGGGCCTTCCTTGGATGGCTTGGACAGATCTCAACGCGGAACTTGGCTCTGATCATACGGTGATCAGTCCAATATTCCACTCCACGCATGGCTCGGGTTACTAGCACCTCCTTGTTGTCGCATTGTCGGTTGATGATGTCATCTAGCAGGTGTCAGTGTTTATAGCGGGAGTGTTGCCATGAGTTATTGTGTTTGTGCTTCAATTGGAACAGGGTGTTGTTCGGAGCATGGGGAGAGTAGCCGCAGCCCGTTGCTGTTCTGCTTACCCAGCCCATGTCGACCTAGTACACGGTCATAGGTCTGGTGTCCCGAGCACACCCTGGCATTAACGTCTCCCATGAGGAGTAGCTTGTCGGTACGCAGTGTGTTTTTAAAGGCAGTGACGAGAGCTTTATTGAAAGCCTCCTTGGCATCATTGTCTGCGTCCAGTGTAGGCCCATAATCACTGATGAGTGTGGCAGAACGCCCCCCGGCCAATGGAATGCGCCCCCTCCCCAGCCGCTCACTAATACCAACAGTGAATTCAGCAACGCATTGGATGGTTGAGGTTTGCACAGCAAAACTCACACCTTGGAGGTGGCGAGCATCTTCTGGATCACTCTTCCAGAAGAAGGTGTAGCCCTCACAAGCCTCTGTGAGAGGGTCTTCTCCATGTGAGAGGGTTTCATTAAGCGCTACAATGTCGATGTTGTATTTTCTGAGTTCATGGGCCACGAGGGCTGTCCTTCTGTGCGGTCTCTCGTTTTTTTTTTTTACGTCAGAGTCCAGGAGGGTGCTGACGTTCCATGAAGCATCTTTAAGGGGTAAACAAGTCTTGGATTAACTTGAGTTTCAGACACTGAATGGGATGCTCTGGTGGTAGCGGCTAACTACCCGGAGTGAGTGGAACAGATAATTTTAGATCACCTTTTTTAGGT